TCTGCTCTTTATTCTCAAACCTACAGTTTGCTTACTTTAACTACTAGCTATATATGCGAAAGCACGGAAACATTACCATGAAAATTTTATTAGCGTTTTGATGAGTATCAAAGCTAAGATTGGTTGAATGTGCTTAGAGTAACACGAATTTTCAATTGCGCGAAACGACCGGGTTTTACGGGTTGCTACTGCGAAGCAAAAAAACAAGACCGTTAATGTGTAACGAATACTTTTTTGCTTCCTTTATCAACCGGTGAAGCATGCAACTAAAACACATTGACGACCGCTTGACACACATGGTGCTTGACACACATGGTGTGTCAAGAAATCTGCCGCATGGGACAGCTTGACACATATGTCAGAGTTTATAATCCGTTCAAACGACGCTCCGGAAGTTTTCATTGCACTGTATATAGAAATAACCATATCTTTTTTGTAGCCTTGCAGAGCCACTGTAGGTACAATGTAGATGGCAGAGTGCATGATTTAATTTTGAACTATGTTGGCTAGGTGGTTGAAGCCCTGGTCCCAAAAGGCAGACAATAGAAATTTGCATGGTCGTAAACCCCCTTTGCAGCCAGCCAACCCCGTTGAATCCTTAAGGCTTCACATGTATGGTAGAATGTCTACGAGGTCTCAAAGTGTTGCATGTGGAATGAAGCATGATAAACTGCATTTTGCCAATCGTGCACCTACTCAGATAATCGCCGGGGGCAGGCGAATCGCAAACTCGCGCCTTTCTGCAGGCGGTCAGCAGAAAGGCGCGAGTTGGGGCGTGGCCAAACTTTCGGCGGGCGGCACTTCCTTTACGGTCGCATCTTCTGCCAGCGGGCATTAATACAGCATTTTTGCAAGCGCTCGGCAAATAATTTCGTTCAGCGAGCCCTGGCTAAACTTTCAGCAAGCGCTAGGACTCTTTTAACGCAGTTACTCAGATAATCGCCGGGGGCAGGCGGTCCGCAAACTCGCGCTTTTCTGCAGGCGGTCAGCAGGATTTCGGGGCGTGGCCAAATCTTCAGCGGGCGGTATTTCCGTTTTCTGCAAGCGGGCATCAATACAAAATTTTCTGCAAGCGCTCGTCAAACAATCTCTTTCAGCGAGCGCTGGCCAAACTTTCAGCAGGCGCTCGGACTCTTTTTACGCGGTTTCGGGCGTACGCCGAGAAAAGATGAGACTCTATGTGGCAGAGGTGCCATCGATGGTTTTATTACCCAAGTTTGGGGTACTTTCTTTCAGCGGAAAGTACCTGAGGGCTGTGCGGTCCTTCAAAAAGAACCGTGCGGCTCTCAATAATTTTGCATATTCTCGCGGAAAGTCCGCGAGAATGCGGCCACTGCGCCGCAGCTAATCCATAAAGAAACCGCGATTGTTCTTCAAGCATTCGTCGTTAATTTCGCCAATTTTCTTCCAAATTTCTGCAAGCGGGCGGCAAAAAATCAACGAACTATTTTTCCGGTGCGCGCTTGCTCAAAATTCGCATGGCCGCCTGCCCCCGGCGATTATCTGAGTACGGGCATACGCCGAAAAGATGAGGCTCTATGTGGCAGAGGGTCATCGATGGTTCAATTACTCAAGTTTGGGGTACCTTCTTTCAGCGCAAGGTACCTACGGCCTGTGCGGTCCTTCACAAAGGACCGTGCGGCCCTCAATAATTTTGCATATTTCTGCGGAAAATCCGCGAGAATGCGGCCACTGCGCCGCAACTAATCTATAAAAAAACACAATACTTTCCGAGCACTCCTCCAGAAATTGGCCAACATTCTTTCAAATTTCTGCAAGCGGACCGCGTGAAATCAGCGAACTATTTTTCCGGTGCCCGCTTGCTCAAAATTCGCATGATCGCCCCCCGGCGATTATCTGAGTAGTGCTCAAATACAATCGCTTACAGTATAAGGTTTCCGTCGAAATTGGAGAATATCGTAACTTTCTGTGCAAGTTATTATATGCAAAACCCATGTAGCCTCAATGATTATCTTGGTAGTCTTAGTGGAACGCAATTCTTATATTATATTAGTCATCCGGCGACGCTAGCCATTCACCTGATCAGAGACGAACGACGCCACCACTTAGAGATCAATTGTTCGTATATTTCGACCTACCTTACCTTCCAAAAGTACGAAACACACTTTTTAAAGCAACGAGCAGTCAGCCGCTTCGCTGCACCTTGCAAAACGATAGCCATGCTTTACAGTTTTCTTACGTCGCAGCACTGTAGATTGTCCCTGAATCGTCAAAGCCTTTGGCGTGCTTAAGGTCATCAATTTTGGGAAAAAACCCCAGGTATTTGATTTAAACATATGAGTTTTACTTCACAGCGTCTGGCATAAGGACTCTTCATTTTGCTTTGGGAATATCTATGCTGACACTGGTTAAATTCGTTTCAGTGGGTTCACTATAGTTGTTGGTGAGCAGATGCATGGAGCATGTCTCCTATGCAAATTAACATTTCGTGCAAATGTATCCGCAATCGGGTGAATGGCGAGATGCCAAGTTCTGGTATGGGAGACTACCGAGAATGATCATAAACTTAAATGGACAACATTTAGTACACTGCATTCCTAAAAGAGGTAAGCCTTGAGAAATCTCTTTTGTGTTCAACGACGCTCTACGGGTTTGCAAAATAATGACTATACAGGTAGTTGAAAATTTTGGGCATAGAGAAAGCTTGATAACAGAGTAACAGATTTCTGAAAATTCGTATTTTAAAGTGATGCAAAATCAGTCTAGAGCTTTTCCTCATGACGCTGGCTTTTCTCTTTTTCATGCTTAGTCAGCAGAAACTCGCGTAAACAAAATTGCAGACTTAGGGATGAAAGATGCTGCCATCTACATAATTTCTTTCATGGAGACGTTCCCCATTGTGCAGCTGTGCAGCGCTGCACAATTTACGAGATGCTTTACGAATAGTGTAAGCTATTACACTTTATGAATAACTGGAACAAATTTTTCCATCTGCAAAATGTCGACATGCCTGATCATCCACCAGCAGTAGTTTGGAGACTGTCACAGTACCGTGATAGTCGCGTGCAGAAACGAACGTAGCAAATCTCAATACCTCCTCATAAAAGTTGATAATCACAAGCACTAATTCAATCACCTCAAAATCACCAACACGGAGTTTTAATCAATGCATGACATTAAACACAGTCACTATAAATCACCTCATATTTTGAAACATTTTTACATTTGAAGTTGTCGTTACGTTTTCGCAGTTATTGAAAACTCCAACATTTGTTTCCAACTCAACCAAACTTTTTTGACGACTACAGACTCACGTCGTTCTTCAATTCTCAACAGGAGTTTGAATTTAATTGGTCCTGAGTTTTTACTCCAGATTCAGTTTTTCAGACACTTGATTGCTAGTCTTTATTGCTTATTGAAATTGACATATTCCGCATTACACACTATACATAAACTTCTACAGATCGAAATGTTGACTACAAAAAACATGGTATCTAAAATCTCTCTTACAACTCATGACATATTCCTCTCGTGTTCGACTTTTTGAAGCATGTTTCGGAATCGCAGGCTATGTGACAGACGCGTATTTGTCATCATTATCAATTGTGCCCTATTTTTTTGAATGCATGCATTTTTAACTTTAATGCTGTGTACCAGAGCTGCTCACCATCGATCTTTTGCTACGACTCGCCCATTAGTATATGACAGAAGTAGCACCTTAATTGATCAAAATTTTTCTACCCTTTTCTGAAGAGCACGTTCAAAATAGAGTTGACGAAGAATGTGAAAGAGTCGTTTTGACAACGCATTGATTGTAGTTTATATTTGCAAGTGTAATTCGTTATTTGCTCATTGATGAGATATAATATCCTCTGCATCAATGGCTTTTGATCACACACTTTCAAACTGTGCTCATGCAATTGTCAAAAATCTGTTTTGACATGCATCTAGAGGAGAAAATCATTTATTTTATGGGCTGCCGTTTTGGGAAAGACCTTTATCTGCCTCCCTCATCATGCAATCTTCCAATTCATCTCGTTTTGTAGAGTAATCCGAACCAGCTGCTTTATTCGCTCTTATTATCCTTCGAGCGAATTTGGAACCTGAGAAATCGTCGAGGCTACAGCTTTTGCGAGTATTCAGATACCTCCTTTTTATTTGATGGGAACGTACAGAGATTTCAAAGTCTAGCTTTAAATTTCTGGTTTTCTTTATGCTGCGATAAACAGCTGGAATACCTTTTCATAATGGTTTTATACGTTGAAAGAGAGAAAGTTTATAGGAAGTTCAGACTATGCCGCTAGCAGGCATAATCATGGACTTTGTTCGCAGTTTGCGCAGGACCAATTTAGAGAACATATCGCTAGACAAGCTCCTCCGATTTTATTTGAATCCATTGATTTGCGACCAATTTAAACATGGACTGTTTTCAAAATATGCCTTTAGTTCAGTACGAGGATGTGATTCTGCTTTTTCGCAGTTGTAATGATGTATGTAATACACTTCTTCTCCTAATGCGAAAGCCATATCGTCGCGGGTTCAATTCAGCAAAATCTCAATTGGCTTTTAAACGTTGAAACTGTGCGCGTTGTAAATGGGAAACCCTTTTTCTTTCCACTAAAGGGGTTGTCAAAGAATTACCAAGAATTGGTCTCTTTCTGCAATTTATAAATAAGTGATTCGAATTTGTTGACTTTGTGGTGCAATGAGCTGGCGACCTTTTTGCTTTTGAGAATATTTACATATAACCTTCTCGTCGTTTCTAGCTCAGCAACTGCTCGTGCATGTCCCATTCATCATCCGTTTGTACGAAAAATTTTCTCCCTGACAAATGCACATCTAGCGATTATCCTCTTGCAGTGAACATGCAGCAATTCATTACCCCCAGCCATTTTCTAGATTAACATGACTCTCAGAAAAACTGTTGCAAGCAATGATTTCCCATAAAAGCGCATTAAAATTTATTCTGCTTTGCCTTTTAGCTCATACGTCGTGGTCGTCAGCATTTCGTGTGTATTCCAATTCACTTTGCTTTACAGAATGGAATCTATGAAGGCTGTAGTTGAACAATTGCGGCGAGAAACACAAGTGCAACGAAAAAATGTTTCCGAAGTGGCAAGAGAGTAAGTTTTTTATATGACTTTGTAAAAATTTTGACTTTTTGCGCGCTGAGGTATTCAGCCTGACATCTCACCTTTCATGCTTCATCCATTATAGATACTTTAAAAAATTTTCTGTTGTTTCCCACAGCTAGTCAAGTGGAAGAGAGAAGAGCACATCGTAATTAAAACGGAAAAAAAGTTTTTCAAAGATTGCACTCCCACAAGTGCTTTCACTGCCTTGCGATATTTCATAGCCGGGTGATTACCGCACGTCCTTCGAACACTCCAAATTCTTCTTTTTTTAATGGAGGCCATAGCTATGGTTAACGTTCCCGGTCCATTTGTGCGTTTTTTTCTCGCGCCCACATCTTTTTGATTTTTGATCTGCAGCGCTCCTGCTATGAGCAGAAATATGTCGTTTAAGAAAATCCTTCTATCTTCACTGTATGTCCCAGTGCCAAAATTTAGTGCACTGATTTTGAAGGCCTCTATTTTTGTTTTTTCTCAAATTTTCAAAGTCAAGTTTGCAATTCGGCCAAGGTTTGTAGGTTGGACAAATTCCAAGCCGGCTCTCTTTTGCTACTTATTAGGTTGTCCGGAAAATAATGCAGGTTTTGAATTCCAACCACAATAAGTCATACACTTCTCATTTTCTAAGTAGGTTGCAATATACCATTCGATAGAACAAGGCAAGCTCTACAAGATAGCTAACTTGCTTTAGCAATAGCTCTGATCCACCACGAGTTTCGAGCCAAATACTAAAAAGATTCAACTGCCCGAAAAATTGAGAAAAATCGTAGCTTAGTTCATAAAAATCCTACAAAAATTCTAACTTGCTCATGTGAACACATTCTACATAGGGCATCACGCCGTTGCCGTATTTTTTTTGCTGTTAGAAATCAAGAAAATTGAAATTTGCCAAAGTGGCGCTGTGCCGTTCCCACATAAGTAGTTGTGCACTACAAATCTTTAGAAGTACAAACGTAAATTTCCAGCTCTCTACAAGCTTTAATTCTCGAGAAATATCGAATACAGTTTTCCCTAGTCATGCGGTCCAAGCTAAAATCCAAATTTCTCGAGAACTAAAGCTTGGGGGGAGCTGGAAATTTACGTTTGTACTACTACAGGTTTGTAGTGTACAACTACTTATGTGGGAACGGCACTTTGGCAAATGCTTGAAAATTTCCGTTCTCTTGGTTTCTAACAGCGAAAAAATACGGCAACAGCGTATATGGATACCTTATGTGGATTGTGTTTACGTGAGCAAGTTAGAATTTTTGTAGGATTTTTTTGAACTGAGTTACGATTTTTCTCAATTTTTTGGGCAGTTGAATCTTTTTAGTATTTGGTTCGAAACTCGTGGTGGATCAGAGCTGTTGCTAAATCAAGATAGCCTTCTTGCTATTTAGAAACGAGAAGTGTATGACTTATCGCGGTTGGAATTCAAAAACTGCATTAATTTCCGGACAGCCCAATACAAGGAAGGATAATTGGTCGAATTGGCCCTTTTGAATGACCTGTATACTAAGAAACCCTTCTTGGTAAGGCAAATTCAAAACTACTTTCGCTAGTTGCCGAACGGTTTTGTGGAGGGGGGGGGGGAATTATGAGGTCTTTTCCTCCGGCGCTGCTGGCGCACCCACTAATAAGCGAGGCGCTAAAACGAAGCAGGGATGTGGCAGTGGCGCAGTAGTAAGACAGTGAAACTGTGAAACAGATGTCGAAGATTCGGATCCTACTGCTGGCGCTTTGTTTTGCAGTTTTGTAAAAAATCTATTGGGTGACCGTAAACGAGAAATACTCATTGCTAACAGTTGAAACAAGCTATTCACTGCAAAAAGTCACTATTTCTACAATCAGCTACAATCTTCTACAATATGTAAATCTGTGGGGATTTTGATGTTACAATAATGGATTTTAATGATATATCAAAAAATACAAAAACAAAATGATCAAAGCCGAGCAGCTTCTTGCAGTGCGCACATCGGATAAATTGTAAACGATTATAGAAGATTATAGCTGATTGTAGAAACTTTTTTCAGTAGATATCCTGTTTCAACTGCGTAGCAATGGGTATTTTTCGTTTACTGTCACCAAATAGACTTTTTACAAAAGGGGACACCAGGGGCGGTATGCATCAATTGCCCGTCCGGATAAGTTACCCGGACAGGTAGTTTCCGCTTCATAGCTCGGAGCTTTGGGGATCTGTGTTCCTCCTTGTTTGTTAACCTTTGGAGGCTCCACTACCCTAATATCGTAGCACAATAAGTAGCAGCACCTTTGCTGTGAAACCTGAGATAATTCTTTATTTGTATGATCCCGAGCTGGATCTCCCACTGATCACGCTCATTTACTTATTTATAAACTCAATGAAAACGCCACGGAGTTTTGCTGTCGATCTATAACGACAGTGCTACGCAAGTTTTCAGTAGGACACGTGAAATGTGCAAGTTTTGAGTGTTTTGATAAAGCCCAACTCGCGAGCACAGGTTTATTAAAGGTTTTGTCAACTTGATTTTTCGCTTATTTCTTTCATAAACATGGGCGTCACTGTCGTAATAGATCGAGAGCAAAACTCTGTGGCGTTTTCATTGAGTTTTTGCGGACATAAATAAGGTTGAAAATGAGCGTGATCAGTGGGAAACCCCGCTCGGGATCATACAATAACGAATTATCTCAGCTTATACAGCAAAGTGCTGCTATTCATTGTGCTGCATTATTAGGGTAGCAGAGCCTCCAAAAGATATACAAACACGGAAGAACACAGATCCCCAGAGCACCGAGCTATGAAGCAAAAACTCCCTATCAGGGTAACTCACCCGGACGATTGACGATACCCGGACGGGCGATTGATATATACCGCCCCAGCAGTAGGCATCTGCTTCACACTTCACTGCCTTGCCACTGCGCCACTACCACACTCGATGCATGCTCTTAGCGCCTCGCTCATTAGTGGGTGCGCTGGCTGCGTAGGGAAAAAATGGCCTCATAGCTACCCCTCCCCCTCCACAAAACGTTCGGCAACTACCGAAAGTAGTTTTGAGATTGCCTTACCAAGAAGGGTTTCCTAGTATACAGTTCATTCAATTCAAAGGCCACTTCGACCGATCATCCTTCCCTTAGTTTAAGTCGACATTTTTACTTGCACTCATTCCATATCGACATATTGTGGCCGCAGATTATTTTGTCTGAGCCTAGAACAAAAACATCAATGCTCTTCTAGAACATACTCTTTGTTTCGTCATTCAGTGCTACCCAAACCGGCTCGATTTGCAATAAGGATACTTGTGCTTGTCAAATTCATGAGATCAAAGCGCTTACAGGGCTTACCAAACGGAGTGTCGCTTGCATCAGCATGTTCACTCCCGCGCTACACTCTTCATCTCTTCCGCGAACACTTTCCCAGGGCGAGCATGGGAAAGGCGAAGCCTCAGTCGATTGAAAGTGATTAGACAGCATGTTTGCGGCAGAGACGTAGAGTCCAGCGCGTGGAGATGCTGATGCAAGCGACAGCGCTTGATAAGCCCTGTACATAGCTCGAAGCTTCAGTCGACCTGAAGCTGGTCTGCGTCAAAAATTTTCTCATGCAAGCGTCAAAAGCATCAATGCTTAGGCCCGGAAACATGATTGTGAGGATTACGACAGAGCTAATTCTCTTTGCCAAATCGTTCAACTTCAGTTGCATAAAAGTATTGACTCTCGGTACCTTTCACACTACAGGCGTTCCATAAACATAAGAACAACATGCTCAACATTCAAAGTGCTTAACCGCGTATACCCCATCAAACATTTATGTAACGTGATCCAAATTCAATCCAAAATTGACCAGATCGATTATGGCTACCTATGTTACCCCTAATATGTTTTCGAAATATGGTTGTTTGTTTAATTATTCAATAAATGTACAAAAAGTACGCCTACCATAAAACAGCAGAAAAATAAGTGATAGTCAATAAGGAAGAAAAGCAAGAAAGAACACTAAATCTAGACAAAGCTTGAAATCAGTACTGGTAAAAATTGTGTTGAATGTTCTCACTTTTTTTGCTTCATAGCTACCATTCATAACAATTCCGTAACTTCTCATCGTACTTCTCAAAACCTCGATTAGCTGCGCGGCTGTACGTATACGCTTTGTAGGGTCTGCTCGCATTTAGAGCAAAAAGGGTGCGGCTTATACATCTGAAAATAGGGTAAATAGAGCGTATTCTTAGAATCAAGTAATCGATCTGCAAGTTCTTATTGTTATGGCTTTTCCACACGCAAAGTATTCTTTTTGGGAGCCGGCAAAGAAGCTTCGATTACCTTCAAAAGCAGTAATGCTATTTATGTAATTATTCGATGAACATGTTATTATTATTATTATTACTACATTATTCGACACTTACGTTGAATTCGTGACAAACTGTGACATTTCAGTCTTCTCGACTACTGTGAAAAGCACAAAGGTAGCGATACTCTGGTGAGTGGTACAACAGATGCACAAAATCCTTTCCGCGAGAAGAAGGGTTGCACAATGATTTGATGTCGCCTCTGTGATCATGTAGCTCCATTATTGCTAGTCCGAAGTACCATTAAAAAGGTTGTTTCAGAAACTGGTGAACATGAACACTCTAGTTGTACTCATATGAGATTTTCGTGTAGCTAATTTAATCCTGTCTCACTATACTTAAAGATCTTTAAATCCATCAAACTTGATTCTCTTGCCGGAACATTAACGCTGAATTTGTCGCTATGCATTGCGTAAAGCACCTCGAAATAAATCATTGTGCCAAGGTAAAATTTCCACGTCGTTGCTGTGGATGAACGCTACATCACATCAGTATCAGCATAGCCCAACTGCACTACAGATAATTTAACTGATTGTAAAATTTCAGCAAAATATTAGGTCTTTCTGAAAGTTCTTCTCGTTTTTTCAACCTATCATAAACACGTGAAATGAAGGTAGGGAAACGCTTCAGGCATTATCCGACGCAGCTTTCGTTCCTCTTTTCAAATGTCATATACCTGTGCCGCTTGCTCTTGTGATCAGTGAGATAATGGGAAATTTTGAACCCATGGTTTTTATGGTGTCCAACTTTGGCAATTTGTAATAATGTAATAATTTGCAATAATCTTTTCAGACTTTTGGAAAAGCTTTCATAGCAGTCAGATAGAGTAAACAAAGTGCAATTTGATGGAATTTTTTGGCATTTCTAGCTGGCTTTTCAGTGCTTTTTGAGATAACTTTTCCAAAAGTCTTCACTTTTTCAAAGTCACAAAACACACGTACGCTCCGAACATTAGCAAATCTTCCGATTTCGACACCTTCAAAAGTCGTTTATGATTGTCCACTATTTTTACAAAGTAAATGAGCTTTTACCGCTCCGAAATATAAGATCGCATTTCACGTGTACACCCTTAGGCGGATTCTGAATTAAAAAATATGGAAATTTTATCGCCAAGAACCCCAACAAATTGGGAAGGAAAACACTCAATAAAAAGAGAAGGAAAAGCTGCATCGAATGACGTCTTAGTCGTGCGCCGTTTTATGTTCTATAGTTCTTGGCATCACCAAAAGTGAAATTTGACAGCATCAGAAAAATAATTCTAAATAATTTTTAAGGATGGCTATAGAGGCCGAAAAATTGCGTTAAATTGCACTTTGTTTACTCTATCTGACCGCTCTGAAAGCTTTTCCAAAAGTCAAAAAAGAAGATTATGAAAAATTGCCAAAGTTGGACACCGTAAAAATCATGGGTTCGAAATTTCGGCCATTATTTCACTGATCACAAGAGCAAGCGGTACAGGAATATGACATTTGAAAAGAATAAGAAAAGCTGCTCGGATAGTGCCTGACGCGTTTCCCTATCTTCATTCCACGTGTTTTTATGATAGGTTGAAAAACGGAAGGAACTTTCGGAACGACCTAATATCTGAGCAAAGATAAGATTAGAGGGCACTGCCCGAAACTGCGTTGCGCATTAGACGCTATCAGATCTTGAGGACGCGGGGGGGGGAGGGGATCCACCGATAAAGTAGTCAAACGTTCACAGCTCTTTCTACTCATTCCCGACACGGTAGGTTGGCAGAAGTAAATTAAGTTTACCGTTCTCCGAAACACCTATACTCGGAATTGCTTGCACGTTTCTTACCGCCTTCTCTGCTTTTCGCTTGTTAATGCTTAAAGCAAAAATACTCTTGAAAACAGCATTCAGGCAAAAGCCCTCCCAAATATCGCGTAATCTAAAAGCAAGCGTAAAGCACCTCGTTTCTGTCTTTTCAGTGTGGGTGAGAAAATACACCATTAGAAAATACTCTTAGAAAGACTCTTATAAAGATGACAGCAAAGGATTTCTTAGGAAAGATAGCTTATGTGTTGATGATAGAAATCCTTGCATTCCGGTTTCGGGGCTAAGAACTAGACCGGTAATGCGACTTTTTGGGTGCCCCGAACTTGATGTCCTTTCATCAGTAGTGCCCCCAGAAAGCCCTAAAACCCAAAATGCATATAATATGAGAGGAGGATGTTACTAGAGATAGATATAATAGGACTGAGAACGCAGTAAAAGTTCAACTAAAAGGAATGTTGCTACACAATACAAATATATGTTATACGGTAATGCTTGAGACGCCGCTTCCGCAAGAACTACTCTTCGACTCGTCCTGACATGGTAAGCATATTGATCAGTAAGTTTTTCGTCCTCCTTGTTGAAACCTCGGCATAATTCAGATCGTTGTCAGTATAGTGTAGCCAGCACGAGGTATGGGTGAAGCTTTTTATTACATCACTGGCCTAATTAGTCATCGTAAAAGTAGCTCTAAAAATATCACAGTACATGTTCGTTCGGCACATCCGTCAGCCTCAAAAATGCCGTTGTCCGGAATATGTTTAGAACAGCAACACAAGTATGTACGGGAGAGAAAGAACAGAAAGAGTCGCGAAATGTTGCACTGAGCATCGCTAAGAAAAATGGCTATCCCATGCATCCTGCTCGTGGTAGACCATTCCCTTCAAGTAATACTGCTCAACATAACAACAAAATAGCACTCTGTCTTACTTTCGTTTCGGATGAAATCAGTTTTGCAATACTACACAGCATTAAACGAGCACAACTGAGCGACGATGTCATTTTAGTGAACATTCCGAGCGGCAATCTCAAACGACGACTTGTACGAAACAGGCTCTATGACAAATACTGCATCTCGAAAGAGTGCGTAGTTTGTCCACATAGCAGCATTGGTGAATGGTGATAAAATTGGTAAAACAGGGGTTATATATCAGATAGAGTGTTTAGTTTGTGGTGCTAGCTATATAGGCGAAACCGGAAGAGCACTTGGCATAAGAGTTAGAAAACATCTTGCCAATAAACGAAAAGGTAGTCTAGTTTCGCCGCTCGGTAAGCATAAACATGAATACCACCGCGATCAAGACTACGAAATCAAATGTACAATTTTGGCTTACGAGAAAGATACGTCTGCGCGGAAAGGGAGTCTCCAGACCACGCCGGTTGTCGCTCTTGCAGCCGGTAGCTGCTTTCGCGCCAGTTGCCGCTATTGCAGCTGAAGCGTACTGGGGCAAATTTTGTCCGTGAAGCGCGCAGCCGCGGCATGATCGCACTGACAGGATACTTGCAGGTCAATACTTTTATCGCTATTTCTTCCGTTTCAAAGGTTTTCTTCTACGTTGCTGTAAGCAAATCCATTGCAGATATGGATTCGATTTGGCTTTCGTTTTTTTCGCTGCTCTAGGATGCTAGAAGTAATCGTATCGTTGTCGCAGGAAGGTTTATTTTGATCTATCCTCTGCCGCGGAGACATCCTTCTATGCCGAAGTGAGTGAGCTAATGCTAAATGGAGTTTTTCATCTCGTTTTTATCTTATATATAAAGCTGAATGTCTGTTTGTATGTCTGTCTGTATGTCTGTATGTCTGTCTGTATGTCTGTACGTATGTTCCGAATAGAAAATTCCATTTCTGAACCGATCCGGACCAAACTTGGCACACATACACTTCGGGCCCCGGCGGGTGTCATAGGCTACTTTTCGTATCGATCGATATCGATTTTATCGATTTTTTGCAAAATTTGAGCTAGGGGGCTGGAATTTGGCAGGGGGTGTAATCGAGCATGCTGGTCACCCCCACGGGGGTGTTCAGCATGCTCGACTACACCCCTCTGCCAAATTCCAGCCCCCTAGCTCAAATTTTGCAAAAAATCGATAAAATCGATAAAAGTAATGCACGGTCTCGAAAACTAATATTGTATTCGTAATCAGCATGCTCGATTACATCCCTATGCCAACTCCCAGCCCCGTAGCTCAAATTTTGCAAAAAATCGATAAAATCGACATCGATCGATAACGAAAAGTGGACTGCGACACCCGCCGGGGCCCGAAGTGTATGTGTGCCAAGTTTGGTTCGGATCGGTTAAGAAATGGAATTTTCTATTCGGAACATACGGCGGAGCCGGGTATGCCAGCTAGTTTTCTCTAATTCTGCTAGCTGACCGATTTCGTAAAGAAACGAGGTTTTGTTTGATTTATCGAAGCTGTGCTCCTGTCTTGTGAGCCGCAACTTTGCAGTAGTTTTTTTTTATTAATCAGCTTCAATTTTGACGATTGCTATACTCGGTGAACGATACGATTGCAAGGTAAGCCCTTTCAATCTTTTACGTCTCAAGGCTAGTCTGTTATGGCTTACTTTGCAATCGTACTATGTTGGTTGAGTGAGTTCGTTATGCTTCTTTAGTAATTTCTTGTTTTTGAAGCATTCCACTGTGCTATAGGAGATTCGTTTTGGAACGAGATTTCGATTTACTCTACTTCTTTTTGATCTCCTTCACGTACTTTGCTTTACTAAAGTGGAACCAAAACCATAGTGCAACGAAATCTTGTTCGACAACGACATCGCTCGTACAACACAGTAGAAAGCTTCAAAAAGAAAGAAAATACGAAAGAAACGCACATCACTATGATATCGCTCACTCAGCATAGCAATATCATGAAAACGAAAGCTGAAAAAAAAACATCGTTTGAAAATGTAGCTTATACTAGCATAACTCTAATAGAGTAAAAAAAACCTCGCTTCTTTACGAAATCGGCCAAAGCACAAATAGACCGAAAACAAAACCAGATAAAAAACTCCATTTAGCATTAGTTCACTCACTTCGGCATAAAAAAATATCTCCGCAGCAGAAGATAGATCAAAAGGAACCTTCTTACGACAACCATACGATTACTCCAGTATCCTAGAACAGCGAAAAAACGAAAGCCAAATCGAATCCATATCTGCAATGGATCTGCTGACAACAACATAGAAGAAGACCTTTGAAATGGAAGGAAAAGCGAGAAAAGTATTGACCTGCAACCATCTGTCAGTGCGATCATGTCGTGCTACGCGCTTCACGGACAAAATCTGACCCAGTGCGCCTCAGCTGCAATAGCGGCAACCGGCGCGAAAGCAGCTACCAGCTGCAAAAGCGACAACCGGCGTGGTCTGGAGGCTCCCAAAGCTCTCGAAGCGTTTTGGATCACACGCAGAAAACCGCTTATGAACAACAGAAACGAGTGCTTAGCCGTTACGAACGACTTCATGCCATTTTTATCATTATGTGAGCTATGATAGAGTAGTGCAATGATTACATCTACAATGAGCCGCTTAATGTGACTCATTGGCACTACTGTCACCAAGGAAGCGGTCGCACTATACCATCAAGTGACCGGCGGTGGAGCAAAGGTGTGTTCGTCTTCTCCCATCTAGCGACTTTTGCTTGTAAAACTCGAGAGGGGATCGAGAAGCTAACCGAGGGTTGATGAAGCACTTGGTGGGGCAGACATAAGATCACTAATCCCGCACCACTTTACTCCTCCGAAGACGACGAGTAGTCGAAACGCGTTAGGCCACTGACTCAATAAAAAGCTTCACCCAAACCTCGTGCTGGCTACACTATACTGACACAATCTGAATGGTAAGCATAGTCAAAACGCATATCGTGACTGTGTCCCTGCTGCACATGATGGGACATCCTCTTGCATAAGATGAGATTATCTCTTCTGACGGCAGTCGTCCATGTTTGCAACAACAGGGTCTCAGAAACGGAGTTTTTGGCTTGCCGTTTGCTATTTATTTCTGAAATCAGAACTAAAGGCCTACGAATGACAAAAACTTGCGATCCGGAAATGTGGCTGAGAAAATAAAACCGTTTCTTACGCTATTAGTCGCTTAGTCACTATACAGAGACATACAGAAACAAAACGCACTCACTGATTTTATTCTCAAACGCATATCGCACATAATTTGAAAATAAGCCGAAAATATGCTATTCGACTAGTTTGAGACTTTCAAGCCGAATTTGCCGCCATTCAAAAAAATCACGTACAAGCGCAATTCACTATATCAACATACAAAGAACGTTTACGTTGCGGAAATTGTTGACGGTATTTTCACACTTTTTTCAGTTTTTCAGCAAAAAGAGATAATTCTACCACTTTTGATGGAGACCACAATCAGAATTCGAAAGATGCAGGTTTGAGATATGTTCCTAGTGCGCAACAGTGCCACCAAGAATATATTTCAAAACTGCACCTTTCGAAATAATCTCAAACCTGCACCGGGCCTATCAAACTTCAATCAACTTGATGGATTTGCTAAAATGCTACCAAATACTTTAAAGAAGGACAATGATCCACTGCCTTACAAACCGCGTATAAATACATCTTTGATTGGTAGATCCGCAGAAGTTGTAGGAGACTGTTACGAGGTCCTGCTTTGAACGTTCGCAATCGACATATATAGCAGCAGCCCAATACTACTTGCTTGGATATCTGAGCCTTCTCTGGAGCGAGAACCTCTTTGATTTTTCAGTACAAATGAACAAGTTATCGCTGATCGTCAGCCACTTTTGTTATATTTGAGTATGGAAAAAACGCTGTTGTTCATGGCAGAACTTATTGAACAACTGACACAACCCTTTCTAAGCTCCCACTTTGAAGTCAGCTAGTATTAAATACTCTCTCAGGCGCGGGCCTAAGCTTTATCTAGGACAACCTCAGTCATTTAGTGAGGTGAGCTAATGATCTGGATGCGAATCGCTTTTCACACATAAAAGCTCTGGGCATTTTCAAAAAAGAGACTCTTTGAGCAGGTTTGGTCAAATGGCTATTTGAATGGGATAGAACACGAAAGGCCATGACTTGAGGCCGGCTAATGGAGGATTTTTGCGCCATCGCCGAGCAACCTTCAATAGCGGCAAGAACCATTGTGACGCTATAAAGAATAAATATCCTAGCAAATAAATGGATAAAACAAAACTACGACATTTTTACGAAGATATCATGAAAAACTGAGAAATTTGGAACACAAACGGAATGAAAAAATCAAATTCCTGTTTGATGTAGCCTTCAAGAACTAAGCGAACTTTGCAAAACAAGGAGTCTGTCACCTTTTTCGTCACCTTATCAGCTGTTCATCAATTCTTGCCTATTTGGGCTTCGAAATTGAGCAGTTTTGCGAGCTTTGTACTGCAAAAATACGCCAACCAAATAGTCCCGTAAGTTACTCGCGAGCAACTCATTACGTTGAACTGACCGTGGCACTTCTCCAGACGGTCTTCTGACTGTTCAAAGGACTATCTCACAGCAGGAAAAGGTAGGCGAATAGTTTTACCCTAGAAAGTTCTTCTGAATGGTTTATCTCAGGTCATTTGAGACGGAGTTTACTACCGGCCCTCTCCTAGCTTATAAAGTAAACTGTGCTTCTCATCAGTCAGCCATAGAGAATGCAATGCTTTCTATGCTTAAAAGCAGCGTCCAGTGAAAATGATGGGTCCGGGATTTTACAGCGTTGCAGTGGCTGACTCTCCACTAATTTACCAGTGAAGTCTAGGACGAAGAAACGCGTCTGGATAGCCTAAAACCCACACTGGATATCTTCCAGAAGCCAACGATTATCCATTTACGTGTATTTTGCAGCGAGTGCGGACAAAGAGAGCTTCAAAAAGAAGCTCATTTTTGCTATATTCAAGCGCAGCAAAGCCCGGACGTGGGTTCAGCATGACGGGGAGACTCCGAAAAGGTAAATAAGCGAAGAGTGAAATTTTGGCGGGCACTGCCTTCAATGATGTGAGGAACACAGTGCGTGAATCGAAATAGACTAAAATATACCAAAAATATCAAATAAACTGCAGTAAAACAGCAATTTATGGCGAGGTAAAAAAGCCAGGCTTACAAAACCCAAAAAACTCTATAGCGACTATGTGGCAGTATAAGACAAATATGTACAATAAACATTATCGTAAGCTAGCGATATGAAACAACAATGGAGAATCTTTTGATCAAACTCTTTCTGCTACAAGCAGTAAAGAGACTAGTGCCGCGACTATTGACGTGTAGAGGAATGTCTGTCCAATACTATTGCATAGGTCACCTTCACAGAAGCATTGTTTGGCAGATATTCTAAATTGAATTTATGAAGAAACAACGGGAAGGGCACACGGTGTGGATAAAACCATGCTGGCATGGTTTGTTCTATTATTCAATTCTCAAAATTTTTTTTCATAAGTTTTGCTAGCTAGGTTTTTGAAAACTCCATACAAAACCCCTGTGATTAAGCGATCGATAATCGCAATGACATCAATAAATGTAAACAATCAGACTAAATAACATGCCCTGATACGTCCAAATGAGACATAACCCAATGATTGAAAATTTACCCTTGAACTTCTATATCTGTGCATCCCACCGTCCTTGTATCAGTCTTTTCCGCGCATCGTTTTTCCACATAGTATGTGCCGTCCTTAAAAAAGAATGATTGTGCGATTAACAAGGGAAGAATTTGTTCAAAGTTAAAACAATTTCTATGTGAACGGGCTACATAATTTGATTTTGTTTTTTTGGAAAAATCTGCTGTCAGTTTGAGTTAGAATTATCCATCACTGAGCATTGTTAAAACAAGATTACTCGTAACATTTACAAGGTAAAAAGGAAGGGCGCGCATTTGCAGTGTGTGTGCAATTGCACACAGAAGAATAAATGGTTGGGTTGTAAAGTGCAAGGTCTAACATCGAGTGTAGTTTCCTGATGATAGATCATATTTGCTTCATCATTCGATCGCTGGCAACTACGTTTTGATTCAACTGGCTTGGCGGCTGGGAGGCGGGGCTTCGTGACCTAATTAAGGCCGCAGACTGCGTCGCTGCCTCAATTAGGCCACAAAGCCCCGCCTATCAGCCGCCAATCCAATTGAATCAAAGGTTACATTTGCCCAAAACTACTTGCAACACGCACAATTTCACGCAAAAAACATTTGTCAATATTTTTGTAGTGTAGTGTTAGTTCTAAAAAGTCATGAATACCTAATTATTAGATTTTACCTTCATTATGTAGTCGTCAACAACAAACAGATGCTTAATCTGCATTTGAACCACAAACACTGCGCTTTTGCATTTCTGCTTTCGAAAAAAACCTTTGCCCGCTTTCCTTTTCTTGACCATAGCACGGCAAAGCTTTGAGTTTGTTGTCATAGCAGAAGACTATTGAAACAAAAATGCATGTATGTGCTGATTGAACGTCTCTTTCGAAAGTTATGTCAGCGAATTTGACTTTTTTAGCATAGAGCCGTTCGATCACCATAGATATTGCTCATTCAGAAGAGCAGATAATAGAGGCCATAAAACAATTGCTCCAGCCTTATTACATTCTTCAGATTTTTCATGAACAAATACAGAAAGATCAAAGATCAAAAGTTATGTAATTTTTTTCTACCGCTTCTATCAATGCAATATATGCTTAAAAAAAGCTGCTAGGATATTGCTATAAAGAGCATGATTTGCATTAGTGAATAAAAATAAAAGCAAGCAAATAAGTTGAAAAAAGTAAAGTTATGACTTTTTGTGAATGGCGCAAACATCTTTCGGAAACTTCGAGAACAGATTAAAATATGCTTAAAACTTTCTGGGACGAACTAAAAATGCTTGAGCAAATAAAGAGTTGCGTAGAATCCTTTTGAGCGGTGTTGCAATTCGACTTTGCGTCGATTACGGGCGCATATATCGAGACTTAGTTAGAATATAAAAGATCTACGGATAAATACGATTTGTATTTACTTTGGTGCATGGCTTATGTTTCGAGCCGGACATTTTACAGCCAATTTGGAGCATTTTTGTTGTAAACACACTCAAAACTCAATTTTTTGCTTTGATATATTTCTCTGCGTCTGGCAGCATTAAGAAACGAGGGGTGAAGAATATGTCATACCAACGACATCCCACCCGATTGAGAATTATTGAATGTCTTCGGAAAGCAATTACAGTCGAGTAAATTTTTCGCTTGATATAGTGTGCTTGCACAGAAGGTGAAATGCGGTAAAATTTGTGCGTGAGGAAATAGCTTCGACCGTGACGCCGGCCAATTACGCGCGCAAAATTCCGGCAGTGCTGGCGCAGCTACCTGATCACGCGCAAATTTTACCGCATTTCATAAACTGTGCAAATAAGCGGAAAATTCACTCCACTGTACGTCATTTGTAAGTAAATTGAGTCAATGGCTTACAAAAATTTCGCAAAACATTCTCGAGGGGGTAGGGCTTCCCTCTCCTTAGTCGCCTACTATTCAGCAGATTTGTAAGCAGATAACTAATGACGACCAACCCGGCCATAAACTTGGCGGAAATGACCTCTCCCACTTTTGACCTTTCTTTTATGAATAAATATATGCCGACGCTTGAGTCCATACGTGAAGCGCTCCAAGCACACCATTACCAAAAACTTGAAGTTCGATAAGCTAACCTGTATGTTAGCTCATCCACTGCCAATTCAGGCCCGATTACTCATCAGTTTCTACGCAGTGAAGGCCAATCTCAACGGAGTCAAAAGCGCAGAATTTTGCAACACGGAAAAGTTCTTGTATTTCTTGACACAAACTTCAGTTGAGAATCATAGGTAGTGTGAGATCAACGCTCACCTTATTTGATCCTCGTATGCTTAGGCATCCATAATTATCAGGATCGCAAGACATATTCTTCGGTGATCCTTGACATTCTGATGTAGGTGCAGAAAGGAATACGCCGCATTGGTAGCAATTCAAGCCATAACATAACGTAATAGAAAGTGATAATACAGAAAGTCGTTGAATCATCTGAATCGCAGATTTTGACACTAAGTATGCATAAGATCGAGTATCAGGTATTCGCGTATCTGTAGAAAGACGACAAGAGCAAAAATGGGGATTAGGAATTGGCGAATGAGAACGAATTAGAACGCATATGAAGCTGCAGCAAATCCTAGCAATTGTTGCTTCTCAGTCGAACTTTTCGTGAAGACAAACGTAATATTGATCTTCAAGCACTGATTTTTTTCTCGATAGTGAGTTTGCGCAATATTTTCTGGCCACTGATGGGCCATATGGTCCTAAGTGTTAGGGGTAGTGTTTCAAGAGCTGTATGCAGAAGTTTGTTCAGTTTGCATAAATTTTACCATAAAATAGCAATATACAAAGCTTAAAAAGCATACCATCCACCGGTGGGCCGTAATGTCCGAAATGGGCAGAACACGAGACCCACCGGTGGGTCGCACTGTCGTGAATTTTTAGATTAAAAATAGAGTTTTCAAGGTTTAAAGCAACAATGATGACTTTATGACACTACTGAAATTTACAGTGGCCTCAGTAGTTGTTCGTTTGAGACCTTAGCACTTTTCACCATAAGAGCACATGGTTATACAGACTGCCAAACAGAAACCGTATGTCATGAACAGAAATCGACTAGTGAACCGCAAAGGGATACCAAATTGACCGAAAAATTGGACGACGCCAGCATGAAATTATTACAATTCATGAACGGTAAAACTCGAAAAATGACAAAAGAGCCATTAGAGGATTCGCCACACAAAACTGGTTCCTATCGAAATTTTGCAGATAGAAAAACAGTATATGACTTCTGTAATTGATGTATGAGGTAGCGCAGGACGCCTACTCTGCTGCAAATTAAACTGCTTTCACTACTATCACTCGGTAACGAGGCCCTGAAAATGCCTCTTCTTTTGTGCATGTGTGTATGTACTCCCCCCCCCCCCCCGAGGGGGTCGCAAAATTTTTGAAGTTTACTAACATTGGTTATAAAAATGTGGGGTGTGGTGCAAGAGGAACGATAGCCATTGCCAGCCGCTGGTGCCAATGCGCTATTGCCTTCACGATTCGCAAATTGCGAACTTATAAAAAATAGTAGAAATAAAATTAATGCTCTACTCAACTCACTCAATAAGTCTTGCTCAAATCCCGGTGGTATGTGCACGTGACTTGTTTATTCTTGTAAATGATAGAAAATTTTCTAAAATTTTTTAAAACTTCAAATTAGCCTTGTAAAAAAATTTTCTTCGAGGGCGTGGCTGCCGCTAGGCCCCCTTTTTCTAGACTTTAAGGGACATGAGCACCCAAAAATTTTGGAAAGCACCTCAAAAAATTTTTCGGAGTGCGTAATGATGCTAGGCACCTTCATTTGAGAAAAAATGACCCCCCCCCCCCCCCCGAAGGAAAACCTGCAGCCGCCACTGATTGTCACGAATTTCATAGAGTAAGATAGAACCAAATTCTCGAGCCAATTTTGCATGATACAATACCGCTCACATTTTTTGAAAAATAGACGCGAATGTATGGACATGTATGGACATGTACGGACATGTCCATACATGTACGGACATGTCCATATATGTATGGACATGTCCGTACATGTCCGTACATGTCCATACATGTATGGACATGTCCATACATCAGCGTCGCGTGGCCATATCTCGCTTCAGTGTGGACGAACTCTGAATCCAAACCCACCATTCGACTCAGCTCGGCGCGGAGAATCTTCTGATGTATTGGAAGTGGGGGTACGATGTATTCGATATTCCGTTTCCAGTTTTTTCAATTTGTTCTGCGGAGGTCCTTTTGCGAATATGTGAAGCAACGCCTACCCAACATAGAAGACTTTGCTAAGTACTATTCGATAATTCTGTTCTTGTAGATTATTGTGCGTAAAAAAATAGGCTCAGACTTCTTTCCAAAGGAGATGGAAGCGTTGGTAAATTTCGGAAAAATCACGCGTTCTTAAATTCTACTCGCCATAACTTCCTTCGGAATAAGTATATTTTGATCCCAAAAACAGAGCCTTGCTCAGCTCATCAAGGCGAATCTTTTGATATACAGCATGTCCTTGATATCACGATTTCAATATTCTTGAATCTTTCTGCGGACGTCTCTTCGCGAATGTGTGAAGCAGCGAGCACTGTCCCGAGTAAATTCCGGCAAAGACTTTTCGATAGTACTTGTCCTGTAGATTATGATGTGCTAAATAGTAGCCGCAGGTTTTTTTTCAAAGGATATAGAACGGCTGGTGAATTGTGGAAAAATCTTGTCGTCCCAAATTCTGCTCGCCATATCCGCAGGATACGAAGCTATCTTGCTAAGCAGATGTGAGTTCCGAAATCAGCAGGTCGCATAATCTCTACGAGCGAGTTTTCCGATATGTTCGGGTTATTCCATTTTTTCTCGTTTTACGCTCCGGAAGCTCGCCGATGGATTTTGGTCAAAATGTTGATGCTCTTGAATTGTAAGGAAACTTCGCTTATAGAGGTTTTCGAACACGCTCTTTACGAAAATCGTGGTTTTTGAAGATTACATGGTCTTTTTGGAGAGATACGGTGAGGTGACTGTAACTGCATCACGAAAGTTCGTAACTTTGGCCGCACTTCTCGCATATCTGTCAGGGACCTTGCCTGCTTGCTTTTCTCAGTCAAAGTTACTAGGAAATATACTATCGAATGGTGCATTACTCAGGCTCCAGTCTGTGAAAGTCGCCGAGTTACGAGCCTACGAAAACACGTTCTCGTGAATTTTGCCCAAAATGTGAAGATCGCATATTTCGTCGAAATTTCTCCCGTGAGTGCTTGTATGACGCTCGCTGCAGATATTATGTTCGCTTCATCCAACCACTCCCACTGTATTGAATATGGTGCTTGCGTCTGCTTCAGCTGCTCAATTGAATATCAAAGCTATTTCGTGGCTAAAGCTCAAAGCACCAAGGCCCGTATGCATGTACATCCCCGCGGGGAGGGGAGGGGATCTGAGAGGGGAAGCGTCATATGTCGCTAGTCTATATATCTTTCTTCTTATTTCTCTGTTTTGCTTTTGAAGATTCTCATACACTGATACTTGCGCATAACGGATGCCAGGTTACTGCCGTACAAGATTAGATATTCACTATTTCGTGTGATCCCCTGGGGATCCCCAGGGGATCACACGAAATAGTGAATATCTAATCTTGTACGGCAGTAACCTGGCATCCGTTATGCGCAAGTATCAGTGTATGAGAATCTTCAAAAGCAAAACAGAGAAATAAGAAGAAAGATATATAGACTAGCGACATATGACGCTTCCCCTCTCAGATCCCCTCCCCTCCCCGCGGGGATGTACATGCATACGGGCCTTGGTGCTTTGAGCTTTAGCCACGAAATAGCTTTGATATTCAATTGAGCAGCTGAAGCAGACGCAAGCACCATATTCAATACAGTGGGAGTGGTTGGATGAAGCGAACATAATATCTGCAGCGAGCGTCATACAAGCACTCACGGAGAAATTTCGACGAAATATGCGATCTTCACATTTTGGGCAAAATTCACGAGAACGTGGTTTTCGTAGGCTCGTAACTCGGCGACTTTCACAGACTGGAGCCTGAGTAATGCACCATTCGATAGTATATTTCCTAGTAACTTTGACTGAGAAAAGCAAGCAGGCAAGGTCCCTGACAGATATGCGAGAAGTGCGGCCAAAGTTACGAACTTTCGTGATGCAGTTACAGTCACCTCACCGTATCTCTCCAAAAAGACCATGTAATCTTCAAAAACCACGATTTTCGTAAAGAGCGTGTTCGAAAACCTCTATAAGCGAAGTTTCCTTACAATTCAAGAGCATCAACATTTTGACCAAAATCCATCGGCGAGCTTCCGGAGCGTAAAACGAGAAAAAATGGAATAACCCGAACATATCGGAAAACTCGCTCGTAGAGATTATGCGACCTGCTGATTTCGGAACTCACATCTGCTTAGCAAGATAGCTTCGTATCCTGCGGATATGGCGAGCAGGAATTTGGGACGACAAGATTTTTCCACAATTCACCAGCCGTTCTATATCCTTTGAAAAAAAAACCTGCGGCTACTATTTAGCACATCATAATCTACAGGACAAGTACTATCGAAAAGTCTTTGCCGGAATTTACTGGGGACAGTGCTCGCTGCTTCACACATTCGCGAAGAGACGTCCGCAGAAAGATTCAAGAATATTGAAATCGTGATATCAAGGACATGCTGTATATCAAAAGATTCGCCTTGATGAGCTGAGCAAGGCGCTGTTTTCGGGATCAAAATATACTTATTCCGAAGGAAGTTATGGCGAGTAGAATTTAAGAACGCGGGATTTTTCGGAGATTTACCAACGCTTCCATCTCCTTTAGAAAGAAGTCTGAGCCTATTTTTTAGCGCACAATAATCTACAGGAACAGAATTATCGAATAGTACTTAGTAAAGTCTTCTATGTTGGGTAGGCGTTGCTTCACATATTCGCAAAAGGACCTCCGTAGAACAAATTGAAAAAACTGGAAACGGAATATCGAATACATCGTACCCCCCACTTCCAATATATCAGAAGATTCTCCGCGCCGAGCTGAGTCGAATGGTGGCTTTGGATTCAGAGTTCGTCCACACTGAAGCGAGATATGGCCACGCGACGCTGATGTATGGACATGTCCATACATGTATGGACATGTCCGTACATGTATGGACATGTCCGTACATGTATGGACATGTCCGTACATGTCCATACATGTCCATACATTCGCGTCAATTTTTCAAAAAATGTGAGCGGTATTGTATACATACGCTATCACTATGTAGTAGCTCGATGAGCGGACTACAGAAAAACAGGAGTCAAGCAGGTTCACATTTCTAATGGCCCCAAACTGGATCGTACCTAGTTTTTTGCGAATTCATGTTCTGCTGGAACACAATAATTCAGTAAGCAACGAACTGTAGTCCAAAAGGGATCAGAGTCTATTTTTCAACAGTAATGAGCAAAAAAGGAATGAGCGCGCACATAGTCCC